AATGCATAGCAACTGACAAAGCATGTCTTTTCTGGACTCATCAGAATACTCAAACTTTCAATAAGCAGTAAACTTTTAATACAATTTGGCAGTAAGATAGGCAAAACAATCCTAGTTGCATGGTTTTTTGGTTGACCTACAAATTATAAACTACAATTTAAATAATTTGTTGTTAGGTGCTGTCGATTCCATTCTGACTCATAGCAACACTATGCACAATAGAACGAAACGCTGTCTGGTCCTGCGCCAATCTCACAACCATTTGTTGTTGTTAGGTGCCATCCAGTCGGTACCAACTCATAGCGACATTATGCACAGCAGAACAAAAGACTGCCCGGTCCTGGGCCAACCTCACTACTGTTGCCATGCTTGAGTCCATCGATGCTGCCACTTGGCCAATCCATCTCGTTGGGAGTCTTCCTCTTTTTCTCTGACCCTCTACCTTACCAAACATGATACCCTTCTCCAGCGACTGCTCCCTCCTGACAATATGTCCTCCTAAGTATAAGAGACGAAGTTTGGCCATCTTGGCCTCCAAGGAGCAGTCTGGCTGCACTTCTTCAAAAACAGATCTATTGGTTCTTTTGGCAGCCCATAATCATAGTTATGCTTAATTAAGCCCATTAATACAGCCACTGTGTAAATCCATCTTGTTGGGGTCTTTTTATGCTGATAAATTTATTCCTCCTGATAAATTGAAGTATGAGAGATGAAGTCTGGCCATTCTAACTTCTAAGGGGCATTCTGGCTGTACTTCCAACACAGATTGGTTTGTTCTTCAGGCAGTCCGTAGTACTTTTTAATATTCTTGTCTAACACAACTCAAATTCATCAGTCTTCTTTATTCACTTTCCAACTTTCACATGCATATGAGGCTATGGAAAATACTATGGCTTGGGTCAGGCGCACCTTAATCCTCAAACTGACATCTTTACTCTTGATCACTTTATAGAGGTCTTGTGAAGCAGTTTTGCCTAATGTAATATGTCATTTGATTTCTTGAATGCTGCTTCTATGAGTGTTGATGGTGAATCCAAGCAAAATGAAGTCTTTGACAACTTCAATCTTTTCTCCATTTATTGTTTATTGATCCAGTGTGAGGATTTTTGTTTTCTTTACATTGAGGTGCAACCCATATCAAAGCCTGTGGTCTTTGATTTTCATCAGTTGACCATTTTAAGTCCTCTTCGCTTTTAGCAAACAAAGTTGTATCATCTGCATATTGTAGGTTGTTAATGTATTTTCCTCCAGTCTTGATGCCACACCCTTCATATAATTCACCTTCTCAGATTATTTGTTTAGCTTACAAATTGAATAAGCATAGTAAAAGAATACAACCCAGGTGCACACCCATTCCTAATTTTAAACCATTAGGTGTCTTCTGTTTGAAGGGCTGCGTCTTGGTCTATGTACAGCTTCTTCATGAGCACAATGAAGTGTTCTGGAGTACCCATTCTTCACAATGTTATCCATAGCTTGTCATGATCCAGAGTCAAGAGCCTTTTGCATAGTCAAAAAAGCACAAGTATACAGCTTTCTGATACTCTCTGCTTTCAGCCAAGATCCATCTGATGTTAGCAATGGTGTCCCCCTCATTCCATGCCTTTTTCTGAATCAGCTTGAATCTCTGGCAGTTCCCTGTCAGTATACTATTGCAGCTCTTTTTGCATTATCCTTAGCAAAATTTTACTTGCATGTAATAGTAATGATTATTGTTTGGTTATTTCCACATTCTGTTGGGTCACCTCTCTTTGGAATGGACACATATATGGATCTCTTCCTGTCAGTTGGCCAAATAGCCGTCTTCCAAATTTCTGGGAGTAGATGAGTGAGAGCCTCCAGTGCTGCATCAGTTTGTTGAAAGATTTCAATTTTTATTCCATCAATTCCTAGAGCCTTAATCTTTTGTCAGTGCCTTCAGTACACCTTGGACTTCTTTCTGCATTACCATTGGCTCTTAATCATATGCTACCTCTTGAAATAGATGAACATTGACCATTTCTTTTTAGTATAGCAACTATGTTTCTTCCATCTTATTTTGATGCTTTCTGCATCATTCAATGATTTACCCATAGAACCTTTCAGTATGGCAAGTTGAGGCTTGAGTATTTCTTCAGTTTTTTTCAACTTGAGAAATGCTGAATGTGTTTTTCCCTTTTTGCTTCTCTAGATCTTTGCACATTTCATTGTAATACTTTGTCTTCTGGAGCTGCCCTTTGAAATTTTCTGTTCAGCTCTTTTACCTCATTTCTTCCATTCAGTTAGCATCTCTACAACAGAAAACAAGTTTCAGAGACTCTTCTGACATCTTATCTTTTTCTTCTTGTCTTAACCACCTTTTGCTTTTCTTCTTGTAGATGTTCTTGATGTCATCCCACAACTCTTCTGATATTTGGTCATTAGTATCTAATTCATTAAATCTGTTCTTGGGATGCTCTCTCAATTCAGGTGGGATACGTTGAAGGTCATATTTTGGCTCTTTTGGACTTGTTGAAATTTTCTTCAGTTTCAGCCTGAACTTGATTTTGAGCAATTGATGGTATGTTCCATAGTCTGCCCCAGACCTTGTTTTGGCTGATGATAGAGACCTTTTCCACCGTCTCTTTCTATAGATGTAGTCTATTTGATTTCTATGTGTATCATCTGGTGAGGTCCACATTTATAGTTATCTTTGATGTTGTTTAAAAAAGATATTTTCAGTGAAGAAGTCATTGATTTTGCAAAAGTCTGTCATGCAATCTCCAGCATCATTTCTATCACCAAGATCATGTTTTCCAAATACTGATCCTTCCTCTGATCATTCCAATCAATACTAATTATCAATACATCTTTATTCATGTTTGATCAATTTCAGACTTAAGAAGTTGGTTTGTTGTTAAGTGCCTAAGTCATTTCTGACACATAGCAACCTCGTATACAGTTTCCAAGGAGCGGCTGGTGAGTTTGAACCGCCAGCCTAGTGATTCAGATTGACTTTGTGACAAGTCCAGTGATTATCCTACTCTGCCACACAAGGACTCTGAATAAGTTTGTAGACGTCTTCACTTTGATCATCACTGGCTTTCATAGTTGGTAAGTAAATCTGAATAACAGTAGTAGTCTTGCATTCATATTCATTACTCTATCAGAGACAGACAGCATTATACCTGATGATAAATAGGATGCCATTCCTCTTCAATTTGTCATTTCTGGCATATAAATCATGATTGTCAGATTAACCATGGCTAATGCATCAGTTTCAGTTCACTTTGTGTTGTGTGCTGTTGAGTCATCCACAGTAGCGTAAATTTATGAGTACACACCAGCGGTACTGGCACATAAAGTGCGGCCAGTAGCAGATACACGCTTGCAGTCAAGCACTGCTACTTGACACTGGACAGGCACGCTGGACCAGATGCTGCCAGCTCCTGTGCCCATGACCAGTGCAGGCTCCTACAGCTTAGCCACGTCCCTCTTGTCTTGTTCCTTACTAGATACCATATTTGGAACAGGAAATTTCCCCTTTGGTCTATTGCTTTAGTTGTCTAAAAACTTAATTTTTTTTTAATGTTACAAGACACCATATGATTTAACTGAAAAATGCCAAGGTAAACCATTCTAACTGTGCTTTTTGAAATCCAGTGGATGGCTAAAATCTTATTACGGTGCTTGTGGGTGTGTAGAAAGTGGATTTAGATTCAGAAAGCAGTAAGAGTAGAATATCCCCATAGGTTTTTCTAGGCTGTAATCTTCATGGTAGTACCAGAGTGGAGATGTAGGATAATTGCTTGACAAGTTTGAACTGCAGTCATGGGTTCAAACTGAAGGGCCGCTCCTCAGAACACTATACAAGGTTGCTATGATTGACTCCACTTAACAACAATATTTATGGGAGTGGATTACATGTTGGGCTGCTAACCTGGAGGTCAGCCATTGGATAAGCCTATTGAGGGGAGACTTTCTGTTACTAACATTTCCCAAAATCATCAACTTAAAAAGTAGCCTGCTATATTTTATATGTGGTCATTTAATTCACTTCTAATGTGAACTGGAAAGCAGCTCTGGTAGCGTAGTGGTTACGAATCAGGCTGCGAACCGCAAGGTCAGCAGTTTGAAACTACCAGCTGCTCCGCCCAAGAAAGATGAGGCTTTCTGCTCCCGTAAGCCTCGGAAACCCTGTTCAGGGTCGCTATTGGTCGGATCGACTCGATGGCACTTAACAACAACAATGTGAACTGGAAGGTGCTCTGGTAGGGTAGTGGTTACGAATAGGGCTGTGAACCTTAAGGTCAGCAGTTCGAAAATACCAGCTGTTCCGGGGGAAAAAAATGAGGCTTACTGCTCCCAAAAGGATTTACAGCCTCGGAAACCCTGTACAGGGTCGCTATGAGTTGGAACCGACTCCACGGCACACAACGTGAACTTGAGGGCACTTAACAACAACAAATGTGATGGCTGGGAGAACTGGCGTGGCGCTATAAGGTAAGCATTGGAGCTCAAGATCGGTTTGAACCTTAAGGTTGGCAGTTCAAACTCACCAGTCACTTGTAAATCCTATACAGGGTCGCTGTGAGTCGAACCGGCTAGACAGCACTTAACATATAACTTGCGAGCTGGACGTTCCCCACCTGCCATAAAAGATTTATAGCCTCGGGAACTCTACACAGGGTCACTACGAGTCAGAATAGCAAATTGTGGCTGAAAGTATTACAACTGTCCACTGGATTTTTAAAATTAAATAGACCACGAAACCAGAGAAAAAAATCACAAAGGTAGTTAATGCAAAAGCAACTTGTAATAGCTATTTCACAGCATGTTACGACAATTGCGTTACAATTCTTGCTTTCTTCAAAGTCCTGAAATCGAAGCTTCCCAAAGTGTTCAGGTTTTAGTACGTTTAACATGTGAACTGCACAGACCTGCCGTCATGGCTCGGTCCATGGGTGTCTGGGTGGACGTAATGCTTGGCTGGGTCAGAGGCTCCAAACTGGCTCCTTGTCTGCTCAGTCCTCTCATACCGCTCACACCGGCAAAGCTTTAGAGAGGCTGGCCCTGGGGGCCAGACGCCCCAGGGCTAGGCGCAGCGCGGTGCTTCCGCCCCAGGGCAGCTGGTTGAGCAAGAGTCCAAGCAGTGCAGCCATCTGCGCGCAGGCGCCTAGCACCGTTAGCGTCGTACTCCGCAGGCCGAGCGCCGCGTACAGTGTGGTTCCCAGAGCAGTGGCGTAGAGCAATGCAGTCCGAGACGGTGCTTCCTCGCCGCGAAGCAGTCGCCCGCAAGCGGAGTCGCCCCGGAGCAGTGAGCCGCCCGTCAGGGCCAGTGCCGAGCCCAGCGTCCACAGCAGCGCGAACTTGCGGGCACGCAGTAGCAGTACGGGGGCGTAGAGCGCTGCCAAGCTAAAGCAGAGCACGGCCAGTAGCAGACACACACCGCTTGCAGCCAGCCGCTGCACGCGCGTGACACTAGGCAGCCACGCTGGACTTGGTGATGCCGGCTCCCGTGCCCACGACCATTGCAGGCTCCTACGGCCTAGCCACGTTCCCCTTGTCTCGTTTCCCCCCGCGGGTTCCTCCGCCTCAACCTCGGGTAGCAATGGCACGGCGGCTGCTGACCCGTCCGGTTTAGCCCGAGCTAGATACGCCTGCAGTTGGCCGTGGAGGTCCGCCATTTTGGACGGAGCTGGTATATTCCCTCCCACTACCTTCTCTTCTCCGACTCTGATTGAGGCAGCTCGTTTCTCAAGCTGTTATTGGCCAGCACGGCGCGTGCGACAGAAGAGGCCTGGCCCTTCCGCTCACGTTGCTTTCCTGACGCTGCCAGTCTTCCTGTGTTTGGCTTCCTCAACTCTTGGTGCTTTTAAAAATAGAACCCACACTGTTACCTGCTAGATATGTTAGAGCTGGGGGTGGGGGTGGGGGGTAGAAGGGCAGGACGTTCGGCCTGTGCATAAGCCCCTCCCCCCCGAATCATTTGGTGTGGCCGTATGAAACAACCGCAGTTGCAGCAATCTAGTTGTTAAGCGCCTTTGAGTCGTTTTAGAGGAGCCGCTGGTGAGCTTGAACTGTCAACTTTGTGGTTTGCAGTCTAATGCGGGTCCTAGTGTCACACCGGGAAACCAGCCATCACATTGTTAAGTGCTGTCGAGTGGGTTCTGACACATAGCGACCCTATATAGGATTTCCAAGTGTCAAACTGAAAAGAGGGCTTCCTGCCTGTCTTGGGGGAGAGAACGGATCCTAGCTGTATTAACAGAATGCCTGCAGTCTGGTGGACAAGAAGAGTAATAATGTCTCCAGACACAATGAGGCAATAAACTTTCTCATTCAACCTTTAGAGTGAAAGTTACTTAGTTCCTGAGATAACCATCTCGGTTGGCTTAAGCAGTCCTGTTCTAGGACCATGAGGTCTTCTTTGTTAATTTTTAAATTAACTTCCTCATTTGCAGGGCCTCATTGAGACCTAAAGGAGCTCTGGTAGCGTAGTGGTTATGAATCGGACTGCTAACCTCAAGGTGGGCAGTTCAAAACTACCAGCCTTTCTGATGAGGCTTTCTGCTCCCGTAAAGATTTACAGCCTCAGAAACCCTGTGCACGGTCAGTATGCGTTGGAATCGACTCCACGGTACTTAACAACAATAACAACATTGAGACGGAATGACTAAACCGACTCCATTTTGTTTACGTTGTACATCCATGCTATCATTCTCCACTGTTAGATTTCTTTTTTATGAAATCTGTGTCAAATGAAAATAGTTACTTTGATCCCAGGTGTTATTTCTTGTATTAAAAGAACTAAACTTCTTGTTAGGTGCCATCGTGTCAGTATCGACTCATAGCAACCCTCCTATGCATAACAGAATAAAACACTGTCCAGTCCTGCATCAACCTCCACGGTTATTGCTACATTTGAGCCCATCACTGTTGCCACTGTGCCGATCCAACTCGTTAGGGGTCTTCCTCTTCTCCATCCATTTTACCAAACATGGTATCCTTCCCCAGGCCTGGTCCCTCCTGACAATATGTCTGAAGTATGAGAGACAGGAAGTCTGGCCATCCTGTCTTCCAGGGAACATTCTGGCTGTACTTCCAACACAGATTGGTTTGTTCTTTTGGCAGTCTGTGGTACTTTTAATATTCTTCAACACCATAACTCAAATGCATCAATTCTTCTACAGTCTTCCTTATTCACTGTTCAACTTTCACATGCATATGAGGTTATTGAAAATATCATGGTCAGGTGCACCTTAGTCCTCAAGCTGACAGCTTTTACAACACTATTAAAAGGTCTTGTGCAGCAGATTTGCCAATTGCAATATGTCATTTGATTTCTTGGCTGCTGCTTCTACATTGTTTGATTTCTTAGCTGCTGCTTCCATAAGTGTTGATGGTTGATCCTAGCAAAATGAAGTTTTCGACAATTTCAATCTTTTCTCCATTTATCGTGATGTTATTTATTGATTCAATGGTGAGAATTTCTATTTTGTTTATGTAGAGGTGCAATCCATACCAAAGGCTGTGGTCTTTGATTTTCATCAGTAAATGTTTTAAGTCCTCTTAACTTTCAGCAAGCAAGGTTGTATCATCTGCATATCTCAGGTTGTTAATGAGTCTTCTTCCAATTATGATGCCATGTTTTTCTTCATATTATCCTGCTTCTCAGATTGTATGCTCAGCATACAGATTGAATAAGTATAGTGAAAGCATACAACCCTGGTGTGTACCTTTCCTAATTTAAAACCATTTAGTGTTCCCTTGTTATGTCCGAATGACTGCCTCTTGGTCTATGTACAGATTCCTCATGAGCACAGTTGATACTCATTCTCTGCAATGCTGTCCAAAGCTTGTTATGATCCACACAATCAAAAGCCTTTGTGTAGTCCATAAAGCACAGGTAAACATCTTTCTGGTATTCTCTGCTTTCAGCCAAGATCCCTCTGATGTCAGCAATGATGTTCCTCATTCCACATCCTATTCTGAATTTGGCTTGAACTTCTGGAAGTTCTCTGTCAATGTATGGTTAAAGCCATTTTTAAATTATCTTTAGCAAAATTTTGCTTGCATGGAATATTAATGATATTGTCCAATGATTTCCACATTCTATTGGGATATTCTGCATTTCTTGTTGGAATTTCGGCACAAATATTCATCTCTTCCAGTCAGTTGCCTAGGTGGCTGTCTTCCAAATTTCTTGGCATAGATGAGTGAGTGCCTCACTCAGTTTGTTAAAAGATTTCATCTGTTTGTTGAAAGATTTAAATTTTTATTCCATCAATTCCCAGAGTCTTGTTCTTTGCCAGTGCCTTCAGTGTACCATGGACTTCTTTCTTCTGTATCACTGATTCTTAATCATATGCTACCTCTTGAAATGCTTGAACATCAACCATTTCTTTTTAATACCATGACTCTGTATTCCTTCCATCTTTTGATGCTTTCTTCATCATTCAGTAGTTTGCATGTAGAATAGTTTAATATTGCAAGTTGAGGCTTGAATTTTTTCTAAGTTCCCTCAGCTTGAGGAATGCTGAGCATGTTCTTCACTTTTGGTTTTCTAACTCCAGGTTTTTGCACGTTTCGTTACAATATTTTATCTTGTCTTCTCAAGCTGCCTTTAAATTTTTTCTATTCAGCTCTTTTACCTCCTCATAATGAATTTTGCAAGTCATCGGTCTTTCACAATTCTATCATGTGATTTCTAGCATCATTTCTATCACCAAGGCCCTATTTTCCAACTACCAATCCTTCCTCTTTGCATTCCAATTGCCAGTAATGATCAAAACATCTTGAGTGCATGTTTGATCAGTGTCAGACTGAAGAAGTTGGAGAATTCTTCAACTTCATCATTACTGGCTTTAGTGGTTGGTACAAAAATTTGAATAATAGTGGTTGGTATTAACTGGTCTTCCTTGTAGGCATATGGATTTTATCCTGTCTCAGACAGCACTGTACTTCAAGACAGGTCTTGATATGTTCTTTTTTTTTTTTTTTAATCTGTTGAGGTCATGCCAGTGTAGGGTGGATCCAAAATAAATCATGCCTAAATTATATAAAGAACAACATAAACATAGAGACATGCATTCAGACAGAGAGATGATAGCTGCCAGATGAGGATTACCAAGAAACCGAGGAATGCTGAGGCTCTAGAAGCTGAAAAATCCCACAGAAAGAAAGCTTTAGAGCCAATGCCATGATGCTCTGAATTTGGAATTCTAGTCTCATAAGGAGTGCTGGATTGGTGGTGTTGTTAAGCACTGTGGAGTCGGTTCCGACTCATCATGACCCTGTACAGGGTTTCCGAGGCTGTAAATCTTTACAGGAGCAGAAAGCCTCATCTTTCTCCCATGGAACAGCTGGTAGTTTCGAATTGCCAACCTTGAGGTTAGCAGCCCGCTTCGTAACCACTACTCTACCAGAGCTCCTGTGTGGTACTGTGGGCTAATGCATCAGACTGCAAAGTCATATGAACTGCAAGGTTGGTGGTTCAAACTCACCAGCTGCTCCTTGGAAACCCTATAAAGGGTCACTATTGGTCTTAATTGACTCGATGGCACTTAACAACAACAACAAGGAGTGCTGGTGTGGCACCGTAGGATAAGCACTCGACCTCAATGCGGTTTGAACCACAGGGTCAATGGTTCAAACTCACCAGCCACTGCTTGGAAATCCTATACAGGGTTGCTCTAAATTCGAACAGACTTGATGGTACTTAACAACAATAACAAGCTGTGAGAAAATAAATTTCATTCTTTAAAGCCATTTAGTTATGATATTTATGTTATAGCAATACAAGGTAACTAAGGCATACAGGAAGAATATGGATCTCAGAGGTGGTAAGAGAACAAACTGATGCATTATTTGAACTTCTGCCGTCATGAGTCCCAGACTTCTCAGCTATGAGATCTAAGGTGTGCTTTGACAAGTATGAGGTGGCAAGTTTTCACTTTTTTTAAAAAAATGTTTTATTGTGAATTATATGATAGTTTACATGAGAGAACTTTAGTTTTACATTCATTCCATCGTATATCATCTCATTGCCATGGTTCCAATCCCCTCCATGCATCATCAACCA